CCCCTCTGGAAGCGGTCGTCCTAGGTCTGTAAAAGAAAATTATAAAGCTAGTCGACCGGATATTAACATAGAAAAATGGGGGATAAATTATCAAGGTAACCGAGGTTCAATGTCAGTTGAAGATTTTCTGTTTCGGTTAGAATATCTGAAAGAACAATACGCGTGTTCATGGGGAGAAATTCTACGCGACTTCCATAGGCTGTTGAGTGGGGAGGCGCGTGAATGGTATTGGCTCTATATTAAGTCGCATGGTAAAGTGGATTGGCCTAGCTTGCAATTCGCACTTCGACGCCAATTCGCATCACAACACACCGACTTCGAGCTTCTGAGGGAATTGACCGAGCGGAAGCAAAGACCTGGTGAATCCATAGACGAGTATTTTCACGTGGTGGGTACATTGCGCTCGCGACTTAGAAATCCAATTCCGGAGTACGAGATTATCCGATTAGTGAAAGGGAATTTGCGCGAATCGTTGGCTAAGATAGTATATCCCATTGCCGCGTATTCACTCGAGCAGCTACGGTTGGAATGTAAGGAAGTGGAACGGTGTCTTTCGCGTAGGGATCGCACGCTAACAAGTGGCTTTGTTCCACGCTCACAACACGTCAATGAAATCATGTCGATCGAAGATGAGGGTCAAGTCACCGTGGAGGAAATACGCCACCAACGCGCGGCTAGACAGACAGCTGGGCGCAGCAAGGTATCGTGTTGGAATTGTGGTGTGGAAGGCCATTTCTTCACCGATTGCATGTCCATGCAGCGCCGAATATTTTGCTTCAAATGTGGGAAATTAGATGTCATAACACCGAAATGTCCGGTATGCAACCCAGCGGGAAACGCCTTACGGAACGCCATTACGACGGGGGAATCGCGCTCCACACAAACCCCGCACCAGTAGATGCCTCGACCAACACGCCAACAGCCGACGGGCTAAGTCGCGACGCAAAACTACCTGGAAGTGCAACAAATATTAGCATTTTCAATAAAATCAAAAATAATACAAAGAAATATTTGCCCAAGACCGTGAGTATGCCATCCTACGAAGAAAGAATGAGGAAGTATTTGGAAGCACGCCAACGCATTTTCGCCGACAGCGCCTTGATGGGACGCCGAAGGGTTTCGCGGAAAGTTCAAAAGGCGCGTGATAGGTTTCGACAACGTAAGCTGCTACGCCGAAAGGTTGTGTCGTCGGTAAAGAGCGCAGATCAAGCGGATCCCCGCGTTTATGCCGACATCGAAACTCAGGGAATTCGTACACGCGGATTGTTAGATACTGGCGCATCGGTAAGCATTCTGGGCCGTGGCTGTAGGGAGTTCATAGAAGAACTAGACGCCTCAATTGAACGGTACGTTTCGAGTATAAAAACGGCTGGAGGACGCTCACACAATGTGTTAGGCAAACTCACCTTACCTGTAAAGTACAAAGATTTAGAACAAAATATAACTTTTTTTTTATGCCCTCACCTTGAACAAAATATCTACTTAGGGGTGGACTTCTGGCGCGCATTCCAGTTAGCTCCAGATCTGATATCAATAGATGAAATCAACTTCAGCAAATTTGAGCGGGATTTGGTGTCCGAAGAGGATAAGAACGAGCGGCGTGTCCTGCATATTCTTTCGGCGGAACAAAAACAACGTCTACAGCAGGTGGTCAGCGGCTTCAAAACTTATGAAGAACACGGGTTAGGACGCACTCACCTTGAAAAGCATTCCATCAAGCTGGTCGACGAGGCGGTGCCAATAAAAGACCGCCACTACCCTTTGTCCCCGGCAATGCAAGCGATCGTTTACGAAGAAGTAGATAAAATGTTGGAATTAGGTGTGATCGAGGAAAGCGAGACCCTGCAGAATATCGAAGGCATACTCAGCCGCCTCGACGACACCCACTTTATAAGCAGTGCTGATCTTAAATTCGCCTTTTGGCAGATTGAGTTGGAGGATAAATGCAAACCATACACTGCGTTCACGGTACCTGGACGGCCCCTGTATCAGTTTGTAACAATGCCGTTCGGTTTATGCAACGCCGCGCAGCGTTTGTGCCGATTAATGGACCGCGTAATTCCTCAGAAACTTAAAGGAAACGTTTTCATATATCTTGATGATTTGCTGATCATTGCGCCAGATTTTGATTCGCACCT